AATCCATCCCGTGTTCGCTTCACTGTTTCATCGGTGACGAATTTGAACAAGGTTGGGAGGGTGGACATGCTTGTCTAACACCACCTTTTGTAGGGAAACGTTTGGAGAGCTCACAATACACCCTCAACCGCCCAGACGTATGTGAATATAGGGATCGGATTATGTTTACAAAATTCTGGGGCATACCTTTTTGAGCAGGTGTAGTTAAAAGAACTGATCGATCAACAACATCGAACGCACCTTTGAAGTCAAGGAATACCAGGATTCTGAGTCGTCTGTACATGTGGCGTTGCTCTTACACCTGACGGAGTGTGAAGTTGTGGTCAAGGCAGCCTCTACCCGGTCGAAATCCTGCTTGATTCTCACGAGTCAAGACTTCGCGTGCCGCCATGAGACGAAGAAGAATCTGTGACGTCAAAAGCCTTGTCACTACAGGCGTCAAACTAACAACTCTGTAGTTGCTGCATTCACTGCGAGTGTTCCTTTTTGAAAATTGGCATCATTATCGATTCACCGCAGTTGTCTGGGTCGGTCTCCTTTTCCCGGTTACGCCCAAATAGGCTAGACAGGCACTGCCTGAGGAATCCACCGCCATCAATGAAACGAGCAGGTGGAAGCTCGTCAGGACTAGCAGCACGATGATGCTCGAGTAGAGAAATGCGTAGCGGCAGGCGGTGATTCACCCTCACCACCGATAACTTACGTCGATGTGGTCTTATTGATTCGGTGCTGGCTCGGTAGTAGGCACCACGTTTTCAAGCGATTTTCGCTGTTCCGGAAATTCGTACTGCAGAGGAACAAACTGTAATCGGCACACATCAGAAGTAGGCGGTCTCCGGTGTCCGTGCAACGGAAACATTGTCCAATCCAAGACGACCACCCAATCGGGCCTCAGCAGCGCTTAGTCTACCTAATTTGGCGTCCATATCACCAGCAACCACAAAGATATCTGAGATTTTAGCCAGCTGTAGATGGGCACCTAGGGCGTCTTAGAAACTGTGTTCGGCGGATTTAAAGCTACAGTCGGTGAGAGCGTACGCAGACGCCATAAACAGGGTGCGTTGAACCTCACTTTCCCAAGATTCTCCCACAGATGTTGACAAACGAACCGCACAGAGGCGACTATCTACGGGTGTCCAATCAATCAGAGGTTTCCGCTTGTTCGCTCAATACAATACACACACAAGCATATCCAGCTGCAGCGGCCTTCTCATCACCAGAGGTGCGCAGCCAAAACCTGGATGAGAGCGAGGGGGCAGTCAGCACGATCACAGTACTGGCGTACTGCGTCCTTGTTTCTGACAGACAACATACATCAATACAGGGGAATCCAGCGTACGCGCAAGTGTCACCTGTTGGTCTGCTTGCTTCAGTGTGCGAACAATAAAGGTGGCTAATTAGACAGGCTTTCGGGGTTTGAAAACAGACTTCGAAGTGTTTATGATTGTAACTGAACTCGTACGTGCAGAAGCTGCAGCTGAGTTTGATGCAAGGCGAGCAGCACCGTCAGTCCTGGAGCTGAGATCTGCGGAAAACGTATTCAAATTTGGGTGAGGGAGGCGGAAAGAAGGAAGACGTGAAAGTGCAAGAAGGGAGGCGTCAGAATTAGCATGTCTTCGCTTGCCAGCCCTACTGTATGCAGCAAGTAAGGCGACCCGGCTGATGTCACCTCGCGACGGCCGTTGTGGCATGAGTTTATTTGTGTATGTGCATTTCATGATAGTACGTGGGCTGGGATACTGCCAGTGCGCCCACACCTAGAGAGGAGGACGATTAGGGTCCCCAACCAAAACATTTAGCTGAAAAGCCTGAACGCAAGGCAGCGGTGTTCTCCAGGAAATGTAAGTACTTTATCTTTTTTTACGGAACACGTCGCTGTACTTGTTCCAACATCCAACCAGGAGGGCCAGGAGACTGGGTTCGTCGGAGTTATACCAATGGACCAACCTGGTATGAGAGACTTTGTGAGCATCGTGGGGACGCTTCCCAGTATATCCCAATGAGTCGCCGAGGTACACAAACCGCCACACCACATATCTAGGACATCTATCACGGGTAAAAACATTCACTAATCGAATCTGACGCTCCAGTAAGCATGTTTTCAACACTTGCGTAGACTTTGTGTGTACTTTAAAATTCGGACATATTCGCACGCAATATCCCGCCTTATTTACAGTTTACGTAGTTCAAATTAGGAACAAAAAACACAACGTATGCGTTCAGCACAGAATTGTAGGTTTCTTTTGATTTTTACTTTTGCTGAATTCTTCCTCGCACACCATGTACGTCGTTATCCAATATCATCATTTGCACTAGCACTTTAATTGCTTGTGATTTCATTCAATGGATTTCAGATAGTAAACAGCGTGCCTGCCCCCAAATGTAGCGTCGCCAGTCAACGAGGAAGATTTCTATCCTCCGAAGCTCTCACAATCGACCAACTCGCCGATGGAGTCACATCGGGTGATCAAGAAACGTTCCCGAAAAAATCGCTTAACCTATCGATCTATGCTGCGGCCGCCAACAAGAAAAAGCGCGCGACTCAAAGAATTTGACATTCTGAATACAAATTCTGCAACCCAAGTAGATGCCGTTTAAAGCGTTTCCTTCTGTGATATGTGTAAAAAATCGATGAGCGTTTTTCTCGCAAAACCCAACGTAAACATTTGTTAACTCAAATCAACATATACACATTTCGGGTAATACACCTTAAAGGTTGCACCAAACTCGGTTCCACATGGGCACCCGTTGTGTCACGGTACCATTTGGTACAATGCGCAAAATAACTCGCAATGGGGGACACGCGCATACGGATTTATTGCGACTTATTTTCCAGGATTAAAAAAATTGACTTAGCATGCAAGCTGGTATCGTGCGTGTTACTCTTATGCTTCCGTTTACGCTGTCCCATTTGCTTCGCTTGGCCAAATCAATTGGGATTGGCATCCCGAATCCTTGTGCGTGCACGCATAATCTGACGTATCTGGCAACCGCGATCAGGTATGAAGTGTACTCGAAATGTGTGGATACCTGCAGTAAAACTAAACGGTGCAGAAGTAGCCAAAAGCTACGGGGAAGGGCCTAATAGGTATACTTCTAACCTCACTGGACAACATGGCACCGCAATTCAAATTTATATTCGCGCTCATGTGAGGCTGTTCTGGATTGCAAATGCCGGCATTGAAACACTTACTCATGGCCAATATCCACTCTGCATATTGTCACTGGCAGCGGCTGCAGTCCTACACATATATTGCGGGCGTTTGCTTTTTCCTTAGTTTTGGTCCCAATATACCTTTAATCAAGCGCACTGTATGTAAAAATACAATTTATTTGAATCGTTTGCGAACATAATCTCTTCGGTTGCCGATAGACAACAGTAAATTTCTGGCAGCAGGTCTAGAAGAAACCGGAGTTACATTTCTGAACGTATGCAATCACATATTAAGCAAATTCCTATCAAACTCAACACATAACTTTGGTTGAACGACGAAATTTACATTTTTTCTGTAAAGCCAGCTGGTGGGCTTTGGGTGTTGCTTTTATACATCGTAAATTTAAGCATGGTGTCAAATCAAGTCGGCAGGTGTCAACTCGAACGTGGAGCTATTTCTCAGGGGTGCAGCAATCGATATTGGATATGACGTGCGGCAAGTCAGCTATCCCCGCTTTGTGTTCCATATATCCATTAGTATTATTCACAAAATGCCTAAGCGTTTCATAATAACGCAAACTGTAAAACTATTTTGACTTCCCTCTGGAACTGTTATTGTAAGAAATGCATGTATCTTGGGTCGGTTACGTAGAGCAAAACGTTAGGGAAGTATCCGCTAGATTTGAGTTTTGTCGTAGACTAGTTCACGCGGAACTGAAGTTCACTAATCAAATGCTCAATGAACGACATCCAGAGGAAAATGGAACATGTTGGAACGCATCCACGATCAAAGCACATCATCACATAATACAACAAATGATTTTGGCCAGCGAGAGCAATGGCGCAAGTTCTCACAAGGAAAATGGCATTATCCTGAAAGACCACGAACAGAAAGTAGAGAAGCCAAGAGAAATTATGGCCTTCTTGCATTTCAAAACTTACTCGTTGTTGGATTCACAGCTTTGTAGAAAGAAATAACAGTACGTTAATGTTTCAGCATGTTATCCGAATAAATACGGAACATTATTTGTATGAACAGTCGATGATGATAGTGTGCAGCCCTCATGGATTTCGGCGAAGCACATGGTCTTCGTATATATTCGGCGAGCTTCGGCTCGATTGGGGAAATATTTGTCGCTCGTGTCGACACGCGGTGGGGCGATTTTTCGGTGATGAAACTATCCTACAC